CAGCGTCTACTTGTGCACAACATTTACTGTGCAGTAAATTAGACTAATTTCTAGTACCAAGAAATACAGGTACTAGATTAAATGCATGGTAACTACTGCATAGTAGTGCATGTGTAGACAGCTGACTGGGAGCAAATTGCTCCTGGGCAGCCTGGACAGCAGCAAGGCAGTTCCTGCCTCACCTGAGCTGAGCCAGGCAAGCTCCACTCAGCACAGGGTTCACAGGGAGATGCCCCACAAGTGGGATAGTTCCCCTCCTTCCCCACCCCTCCCTGGAGTCCAGAACTGACCCCCTTCCCCTCTGCCAGCTCAGGGCTGGCACCCAGAGGAGCCTGGAGCTCCCCCTGGCTGCTGCAGGGAAGCACAGCAGGTCTGCAGCCACCCTGCACCAAACTGTTCTCGACAGGAGCACATGTAGATGCACTCCAAGCCACCTGTTAATGCACCTTAAGGTACTGGTCAGTAACCTAAATGCACATTAATTGAATATGTAGATGCACCCATTACGTGAGGAATTCTGACCGAAAGTCATACACAGGGAGGCTACTTTTTACTACTCAGATCTGAATCAGCTTGTTTCTTCATGTGTCAGACAATCTAAAATGTGTGAATCATTTCACTCCCCTCCTCTACAACACATCCATTCTTTTTTAGGCTCAGATACCTCCCCTCCCCTATTCCAGATTAATTCTTTAAAAAGGAAAGCACAAAAAACATGCAGTTTTTCAGCCTTTTGCTATGCCACAGTGCCACTTTATTTCCTTTCCACATGCTCCTGAGACCCCAATACAGAATCAGAGACATAGTGAGCACTCTGGCCCCCTCTACACATTTCCACTTAAGGCATGATTAACCAGGTAATAATCAAGACCCAGCTACACATTTAACTAATTAATTGTTTGTTTTATCACACCATAAGTTATGAAGTTATCCCACAAAATACGTGCAATAACTTTGTAGTTTGTTCTAATAATGTCATGAATTGAATGTGTGGCCGAGTGCTCCCTTGTGGCTGGGAGCCCCATTAACTATGGGGCTCCCAGACACAGGGGTGCACCACCTGCTTCCAGTCCCACAGCAGCCAAGGTTTGCAGTGGTGGCAGTGTTGTCAGCTGCAGGGCTTGCAGTGGGGGCAGCATTTTCAGGTGCATGGCTCACAGCAGGGGCAGAGGGAAGAATGCTGCTGCTGGTGCAAGCCTCGTGAGGTGTGAGGCAGTATGGGCAAAATCTGCTGTTCCTGCAAGACTCCACCTCACAAGGCTCACAGTGGTGGCAGTGTTCTCCCCATTGCCATCACTTCCAGCCTCACAGACACTGGCTGCAGGGCTCACAGCAAGGACAGTCCAGGTGAAAGCTGCTGACACTGTGAGCCCCACATTTCAAGAGGCTCACAGTGGTGGCAGTGCGTTCACTGACAATGCTGCAAGCTCTACAGTGACATTAGCTGTGGAGCTTGCAGCAGGGACAGCACAAGGGAATGCTGCTGCCACTGTGATCCCCTCACCTCATGAGGCTCACAGCAGGGGCAGCATTCCCCATTGTGACCCCAGCGGCCAATGATGTTTGGAGCGGGGAATGCTGCCTGCAAGCCCTGCCAAGCCCCAACAGCTGCAGGGCTGGTGCAGGAGGAGCTCAGAGTCATGATCCCAAGGTCCCCCTGCAGTGGCAACAAGTTGTGCTGGAAACTAATGCATGATCCCACAACCCTGCCTCCTGCCATGTACATGTACTAAGTGACTACATATGATGGCTGAAAAAAACAACTTGGCAAAACACCACACTTAAAGATAATACTTCAGAAACTCTTGCTATAATGAACCTTGTTATGATCCTTCAGGCTCTTGTGAGATGGTGATGTGATTCATTAAGTACATATTAAGGTCTAAACATAGCTGGGCATGACTTACTATGTACTACTGTGCAAGTTACCATGACTGACATTATTTATTTCCTCTACAATCTGATTCAGGGGCTTACTTTCTTTGTGCTATAGAGGAATAAGGCAGAGATTATAGTAATAAAAACAAAGCAATTAAAATTGTTAGTTGTACTAGATATAGCACCTTCCTTAACATACTTAAGTTGCAATTTAAAATACATAAAATAGCCGGTGCTGCATTTTTTTTTCTTGAAGGTCATAACAGCAACTAAATAAAGGAAGATAAATAACACAGCCTTTTAAATTTCCAGTTAAAAATCATAGATTCATAGAAAATTAGGGTTGGAAGGCTCCTCAGGAGGTCATCCAGTCCAACCCCCTGCTCAAACCAGGACCAGCCCCAATTAGATCACCCCAGCCATGTTTTTGATCCGTCTTGCTCTTAAAAACCTATAAGGATGGAGATTCCAAAATCTCTCTGGGTATTCTCTTCCACTACTTTACTGTCCTCCTCATGAGAAAGTTTTTCCTAATGTCTAATATTAACTGCCCTTTGTGCAATTTGAGACCATGCTCCTTGCTGTTATCTGCTACCAGTGAGAACAGTCTAGCTCCAGCCTCTTTGGAACCACCCTTCAGGCAGTGGAAGGCTGTTATTAAATCCCCCCTCAGTCTTTTTTCTCTCCAGACAAAATAAGCCCAGTTCCCCAGTTCTCCTCATACGTCATGTCTCCCAGCCCTCTAACCATTTTCCTTGCTCGTCCCTAAACTCTCTCCAATTTATCTAAATCCTTTCTGTGATGGGGGGCCCAAAACTGGATACAGTACTCTAGAAGTGGTCTCACTGGTGCTGAAAAGGGGAATTACCACCTCCTTTCATCTGGCAACACTAAAAGATTGTTCCCACTAATACATGTTTGGTGATCCACTGGTATATCTTAGCTCTAGCTGGAACCTTACTACCATCCTTTATTCTGATTGGCAAACTCAGCAGAAAGTCAATGAACTTAATGGGCCATGGAAATGAATTACCCTTGATTTGCTCAGATCACAGTTGAGACAAAGACAGGGTAATACATGATTGTGAAGCCTGCACTGCTGCTTCCCAAACAGAGAGCTTCCTTTATCAGGATGCCATGATCTTCAAAGAAATTTCCAACTATCACGGTGATTAAGCCTGGAACTGATCAGCTAGAGAAGTTATAAAAATCTTTCCATGAGAAAGATTAAAGTGCCTGGGCTGATTTTAAAAGTGATGACCATGTTTTGAGCAGGAACATTGGATTTAGATGACCTCTTCAAGTCTGTTCCTGCCTTATTTTTCTGCGATTATATGAAATCAACAGTTTGTTTAAATATGGAATTTATGGTTACATAATATGTATCTGTAATAATTTGTATGTAATATAACTTGGCTATGGTCAAAATATGACGGCTATGGAATATGGCAGGTTTCTGATTAAGAGCTGAGTGGATGAACAAAGAAAGGATTTAAAAATTAAAGGCTATTAAGGTATCTTATGGTATTCTATGAGTTCATTCAACATATCCATTCCACATTACAATCATTCATTTAAAGTGAGCACCAACATACCTGAAACTTTTTATAATTAAAAAAAAAAGTTTTGTTTGGCAATATTTCTGAAAACATGCACTCTAGCAGGCTTGAAGGTAACCAGATCCAAGCATTATGTCAATATCATTAAAAACAGTTGTCCAAAAGGGTGAAAGGAAGGAATGAAAAACAGAGTCAGAGAACCATAGGCAATGGAAATAAAAAATGACTATTTCCAATTAATTCTGCTTCCTTTCAGTTTTCTCTTTTTCACTTTACCATTGTACTAGAATTAGCTGGCAGTAAATGGTTGAAATTAAGGATAATTATTCCCATTATATTATAAAAGAAATCTCAGAATTGTATTTTTTTCTTCCCTGCTCAAGAAATGATCTGAGATTCCAACACCCAATCCTCCCCCCAAAAAGAGTTTACATACAAAGAGCTAAGAGCTCTGATTATGAAGCATCATCATTATATATAACCAATAATCTTCACTATAACTTTGATGCCTCACCCTTCAAATGTATAAAAATGCAATGTGTTCTCCAGAAGTCAGACATATGTACAGATATTTGTAAGAGACATTGAGAGTAAAATGATGAAATGAAGAAAAAAGAACATTGTCATGATTTTAACAACTTTGTACAAGTTAAGCTACTTTTTAACTGTTAAGGTATCCACAAATAATAAAGACTCCTCAGAAGCACATAGGAATTTTTTAAATCTAAAATTACATCCCACAAGATCTTTACATCTCTAATAAAAGACACCTTACAAATAATGAAACAAAGAAGTGTACACAGAAAGCTGGCATTCCTAGGGAAAAGGAGTTTAAATTCTTTGGATGTTTAAACTGTACACTGTCTTTCATACTTTCATATGGTTTGGTTTCTGTTGGGTATTTTGAAGCTGATTTTTTCACAGTTAAAAAACAAACACTTTACAACTTTGTTTTTTTACTTTCTCTAGAAATCCACTCCCTAAGTTTACCTCATCATATATCCCTACATATTATGGACCTCATGTGACATCCTGGCCCTAGTGATATCAGGACCCATCAATGAGCCATGTGTTGTGCAGTGGCAGAGTGTGGATGCTGAAAGAGAGAGTGAACTGGGTATGAACAAGGTTTTTCCCACTGTTTCTCTTTCACTTGCAGGCTCTAGCATTCAAGTCTGTATCTCTAATTCCCATATGCAATAGCTATTGATGTCCCTTCCCCCAAGAATCTGTCTAATCTCTTTTTCAATCTGGCTAAACTGTAAACTTCTGCAACATCTGGTGGCAAGGAGTTCCACACTTAAATTACCACTGTGTGAAAAATCTAGAAATTTTATTTAGAAACCTGTTAATAAATACTGCTTGTTTCTTGAAGAGTCTACCTAGAAAACTCAGAAATATAGTGGCTGGCTATAATTACCTCAATTATCTATTAAAATAATATGAACAATGCAGGGTGAGAGATCAAGCACTTCAGCAATGACTTTTTTCAACAATCAGAGGCTTTTACACTACTGTGATTTCATAATTTTGAATAATGTGCATCATTAAGAAAGTACTTACATTAGGCCTTAATCCCGCTGCCATTTCATAATACTTCTCTGCTTCTTCATTGAGACTGGCTTGTCTAGTGAATTAGAAAGGGGAAAAAACATAGCACTTAGTTTTTCTTGGGTAAAGAGGTTAGTATTCAGATGGGCATTAGTATATACTAATATTGTAAAGTAAGATAAACTAACAGTATATTATATTTGTTCTCACCACTTAAAATACCCCTTTCCCAAGTACACAAAAATATGCCAATAAAATTATGATTTTTATAGGCCAGAATATCAGTTCTTCATACTGAAATGCTATGTTTGTATACCTTCGTTTCTTTCTAGATCTCACAGAATGTCATTGTATATTGCATTGAAATATAGGAATATCAACTGATCAACAGAGGTTTGCTCTTTTACATCAGCGGCAGTTCTGGTCCATTTTTTTGTAAATGTATCCATATACTTAATGTTATTTGTGAGATTTGGGTTACAAAATAGTGCAGTGTATTTCTTCTCTCTTCTCCAAGAAACTGGAATTTTGATCCGAGTAACATTTTAACAACAAATAAAAAACAATGCACAAACAAATGCAGTTGTGGGCAGTTGCTACCACTAGCAAATTCAGACTGAATTCAGCAAATGCCTTCAGCCAAAAGAAAAAGAAAAAAAGAATCTTAGAACTGTTGAACAGATTCATTTCTGTAACATTTTGATTTTTCAAACTGGATTCACAAGGAAGCATAAACATTTGACAATGATGGTAGCAATACCTTCATGCTCTATGATGCCAGTGACCTGGGTACTCACCTGCGAGATAGGAGACCTGATGTTAAATCTCCTTTCTGCATGATTTAGCATGTACTTGATGCTAAACCTCTCATCTCTCAAGAGAATATACTAAGTGGTAGGGCATTGTTAGTGTCTCTCATTGAAGCTATTCCATTTTATATAAATATAATTATATATTCATGGGGCCAGAGAGAGAAAGAATGACACTGTAACCTGGTGGTTTGGGTAATCTGCTGTGAAGGGAGCTCCGCAGTTTGCTGTCACTGCTCCATATTAGGCTGAAACAAGATTGGCACCTGGGTGTCTCACATTACAAGTAAAAGTTGTGAAATATTGGGAATAAGCAGACAACTCATCCTTCCTCCTCCATTTTGTATCAACAGTTCTGAATGCAGCAATATTCCATATAATGAAAAGGTGCCTGGCTCTGGAGGCACAAACGGGGACATACATTTATTCAGGAAAGAGCTTCTGGCACATAGGCCTGGAACAAATTGAAATTCCTGTTCTCTTCTGCAGCCCAGTGAAAATCATTACTCTCTTTCCTTCCACAAATGGAAGCCCTTCTTAGCTCTTTGTTTGAAAAATCTTTTGTTCTTTTTATACAAAGTGGCTAAAAATGCCTCAAAAGCAAAATGAAACCTTTTTGGTATTTGCCGACTTCTTATTACTTTAATTGTTTTTTAGTTTGGTCACTGACCTCCAAAATCAATTATTCACATAGGCCATGTTGCCATATAGCAACTGGCAGAGCCCGGAATAACTGTGGGAACAGCCAACAAAATAATGGGCTGCCCAAGACAGGTTACACTTTCCAGTATTATTAATGCTTAGCTTCTTATAATTTTTTAAACAAAGAGCAGGGCAAATGCAGTATGCATTTCCTCTACAAGTCATAACTATAAAAAAGCCCAGATGTTATCTTAGAAATTTTCATATCCTTATCAGGAAGCCTTGGTACATCTGTATATGCTAAAAGGTTACAGTGCATTTCTTTACAAGTTTCTCATTCTTATCCAGAGATATATTATCCTGCACCTTTTGTAGAATGTGAGAAAAGGTAAGAAGAGTAGTACAACAGATATTTCATTAGTTTTCTCTAGATTTCTGTAGCAGTTGTCAGTTCAAGCAATATTATTTGAATAAGTGCTTGGATCCACAGAATTTACTTTGCTAAATATGCAAGGTTTTTAAAACGTATGTTCTTCAGAGATCACCAGCTGCAGGTGTTCACCCTCCATGTGACTTTCCACCCAATTTCTGCAAATTAACCACACAGCGTGCTATAGGCAATTCATTCCAATCAATGTGTTTTGATAGACAGTTATTGGTCTTGGGAGGAGAAGGGAAAAAGGAAAATCCTTTTGAAGTCTCACATAATTTACAAGTAGATTGAAACCACTTCCTTACTAACACTTTGCCAAGGGGAACCAGGTTTATACCTGTTAACTGTTTTAAATTACTCTGCACATGTATCAACTCAGTGGTCCAGTGGTTAGATGCAAGTGTCTAAAAATATTCATTTAACAAGCTTGTGAATCATTCCTGCTGTGCTTTAGTAAAATGAATGCTGAGACATTTGAAACCACTGAACAAAAAGCAGAATTTTAAATCTTAAAAAAAGAACAAAGAGAAAAAAGAAAGACAATAAAACTGAATGTACCACACACCTTTTAGTCACAGGACTGTCAGGAAATGCAACACTCACGAACATCAAAAAATTCTGTATAACAAACACGGTGTCTTGCTCAGAAGGAACATATAGAAAGCATACTATTTTCAGGAAAGGACTGCTGGCACATGAGCATGGAAAGAATTGAAATTCCTATCCCATCTAGCCCACTGGAAATACATTATTCTCTTTCCTTCCACAAATACATTTTGAAACATGGACTATTAATTTTCAAGTTGAAATCAAATTAAATTTATAGTTCTCTATTAAAAATGTTTTTTTATAAATGAATGCAAACCACACTAATCTGCCCAGGAAAATGCAAGTTCCATTCTCGCGGTGTTCTAAAACAGTTCCTTCTGTGAAGGTATAGCCAAATTCTGGTTCACTTTCTCACTGGAAATCTAAACTAGAATTCATTATGTTAAGCCCTGGTATGGCTTCCCCTTGAGAAAAATAAAAGACAGAGGTAGGAAATTGCAGTAACCCTATGCCACTAAGCAGTAAATGGCTCTGGATCAATGTCAAACAATGGAAAGCTTCCACGGGAAGAAACATAATTCACATTAGAGTATAATATTTGATACAACACTGATAAGAATAAAATACAAGAGCAGAAAAGAAATCCAAGAGAAGCTGGGGAAGAAATAGTAGAAAAACTATTTTGTAATTATGAGTTATATCTATTATCTCTATTGTTAGATTTTCATAAGTACTGACCTTGACAGCACGCTTGAGTCTTGCCCCTGACACCCAAAGCTTTAATTTAATCCATCTAAGAAACAAAAATGTCTCTTTTTTTACTAAAAGAACCTGCTCTCAACAATTGCTGGACGGAGCAATGCATGAACTGAGGACCTAC